AGCCTAAATAAAACTGTCAGAGACACACATACATCTTGCTATCTTTGTCAGGACTTAACGCACACAACGCTCACAGCATCTCTGCCTCATCCTGCTGCTCCTGTTTTTAACACCAGGCAAAAAATGCATTTAAAACAGCTGACGTTAACTTTAGATCACAGTTTGAAATGTACACCGAAGAGAACCAGCATCACGACTGCGGTCACAGCAAACGTGATGTGAGCAGCGTCTGGTTCACATGATGGTGGACGGCTGTGCTCGCTAAAACGTTCAGCGAGAAAAGACCAAAAGCTTTTTTATTTTAATCCAGCAGGGAGAACAATAGAGGTGTTTTTCTATGCCTCATGTGAGCAGCTCCAGCATTTTTAAAAAGAAAAACAATGCGGACACGCTGATTACAGTGCGGTGCGAAAGTGAAAGTAAAAAATGTTGCAGCGCTCCCGWCTGGAAAAGAAACTTAAACACAGCTGTTCTCTCTTCCCTCATATTCCGACACAGAGGGTAGAAACAGTTAAATTAGACAGTTAAAACACATTTTATAGTTCATAASTCACCCTTGTTGTTGTTTGTTGTCTGTCTCACAACATTTGCTGCTACGCTCTCCCCGGAGGAAGGGGCGGACACACGCGCTCGCGTGACCCAAAGAATGGATCGGCCGAACGGACAGCRTATTGGCCGATACCGATACAAGGAAAAACGCAAATATCGGCCAAAAATATCRGCCGGCCGATGTATCAGTCGACCCCTAATAATAATAAACTAATTTATTCATTCAAAATTAAAGTTTTTAATGAAAAAAGCACAATTTTAAACTCAATGATAGAGAAATCATAACACCAAGTTTGAGTCTACAAAAAACACCAGGAACTATGTCAGAAGGCTATAGTTAAACACACCATGGACAAAGTGCAAAAAAAATTAAATAAACTACATTTAAAGTATTGCATAACATGCAGTTTAGTTTGCTAGGCAGATTTTCACAACAAGCAGCTAACAACTAAACTGGAGGTTCTACCCAGGTGGGTCTGCCCCTGACTAAGACATAACTGTACCACTTCAGAGAGCTCCTGTGGCTCCAGCATGCAGTGGGCCAGCTCAGGCACGACATCAGGCTGATGCACACAGAGCAGAGTTACGGTCAGTGGAGGCCTGTGGCACTTAAGGTACAGTGTGTGAAAGCGTAATAGAGAAACTGGAGGAAGAATGACAAAGCAGATCAGTGAGAGGTGCTAGCGAATGATGAGTCTGGCAAAGCAAGGGAGTGGTGTGGGCATGAATTTACTCTCTACTTTCACTGGACAAGCAAATAACCACATACACTTAAGCACAGAGAATCCACATGGCCACGGTGAGCTTGAAATGAGGTAGCAAGAATTGTGTAGCGAAGGAAAACTTTTGAATCCAAGAACGAAGTTTGGAATAACCCTACACCTGTGTGACATTTGCAACAAGAGGGAAAAGAAGTCTTCCTCCTCCCCTGGTAATGAAACACTGGCTACAGGCTGCAGCACAGGATGAGCTTGAATGAGCCGTAGTGGAGTGTGCGCGCACATCAACACAAAACTATTCGTGCAAGGGGGTTTGGGGGTAAGGATGTTGTACGGGGGCTAGCATCCAACTTACAGGGACTAGCTTCCAATACCATTTGGAGGGAGACTATCCAGTTTGCAGGGGTAAAAGGGAGGGAGGGATAGACAATGAACAGGAGCAGAGAGATCAACAAGTCAGAGGGTCACAAACAAAATGATCAGACCTGCTTACAGAGTAACAAAGAGGAAAGAAGAGAAAGGGGAAAATAAGGAAGAGAGACATATTCCCCACAAAGTTTGTTGCTGTTGTTTTAAATTGAAATTTCACTCAACCCAGCTGGATGTGAAAAAATGAGAACCAGTTTTTAAACAAATATACCCTACCATTTTAAGTTAAACRGGAAGTATGTGAAATTACCTTTTGGTGGCTTGGGGACTCAAGGGGGTGGTGCTTCACTTTGTGCTCCCTTTCTGAAATCTCCCTCATTTTCATGTTCACCTGCAACAACAACAAAAAAAGGAAAGATTAAGCAACCTTAAACTCACAGAACCCATAATCACAAAACGTTGCTGTAGCTGTTTTTTAAAGCGCAATACAATGTAAGACATGCAGTAAAAAGGTAATTTGAGCATGTTTTGCATAGATCTTAAATGTTCGTCGTGTCTGAACCTTGTTGATCCAGAAGACCATGGCGTCCTCGAGGTCAAAGGGCAGCTCCTTAGAGGCACTGAAGGTGGAGAAGCGCTTGACAGAGGCCACCACTTTCTCAATGCTGATCATCTCGACTGTGTAAGCCATCATGAGGGCATCGATCATGGACATGTGAGCACTCTGGGCGACAGAGAAACAGAATAATTTAATTGTATTGGATTTTTCCCCCCTGGTTACTAATGCAATTAAAATCAAACTTGAAGGCAAACAAGCAGATCTAATGCAACCTACTGCATATTCAACAAAACAAGATAACACTATGGAAAGCTGTAGTCAAGAACACAACCTACTGAACATGTATAATTTACAGTTACAAGAAGAAAAGCAAATGTTGGCGAATTATATTTTGTATTTCTGGACAAAAAACAACTGATTAAAAACTTGATTACTCATTGCCTTTTAAAAAACAAGCTTTAAAATCAAAGTAAAAAACATTAAATGGGTTGGAAAGCACAAACTAAAAAACTTTAAACTTGTAGGGTTCTGAACCGATCCAAACTCAAGTTTAGCCACCACAATTTTAAAAGAATACAATCTTTTTTAGTTCATGACTGAGGGAATTTTGGCCCACATCCTCCATTACGGTGCCTGGATAATTGGTAAAATTATAGGATGAGAGTTTACTGTGTCTCCATTACAGTTTATTATAGCTGTAATGAGTAATGATGTAGCCTTAAATAACCACAACAGTGTAATCAAAAATCAAATCTCACTCAGTTCACAAGAGGCCTAGTGTTAAACCAGCTCTCCCCATTATTATGCAACMAAAACACACAGCATGGAGCATTTTAAGTCATTTGAAACCTAACCTTTGCCCATAAAAACACTTTAACTTATCAGCCAGGGTTGGAATTTAGCATCAGTCTAATACTATTAGCTCTCAATCCCAGTAGGAAAAACAAAATAATCTTTAAAATTGAAATATCACGTTACGTATTTTGTGTTAAGCTTATCACACTGCCAATAACGCAACTCAAAACTATTAAAGAAAAAAAGGGTTATAAACACAGATTATTTCAGTGATTTGTGCAACATACTGCCAGCCTAATCCAATTGGTGATGGAAGTGCACAGAGATTAGACTTGTTAATACAGCAAATGAGAACTATTTAGAGCATTCTGCACAACAAGCCTTATGAACACAAACAGAAAATATACTCCCTAAATCAACATCGATTAAAACACAGAAAGCTAAAGATTGCTTAAGTTTTGCTCGTCATTCTCGCATACAAAGGCTTCTATTATGTAGAGCTATTATGTTTTCCAAGGGCGTTTATGTAGATGAGCCATGCCACATTTACTCTAACTCGGTTGGTCTTTGCTCTCATATTAACACTCTTCCATTTATTTTCAGGTAATGCAAGTTTAACGAGCTCCATATAATCATGAGTTTTATGTGCCTGTGAATTTAAACAATACAACAAAAAAATAAAATAAAAATCAAGTTGATTAAAAATTCTGTTCTCACTCATTAAACTTATTCATCTGTAACCTGCATTCAACTTTGATTAAAAAAATTGTAACATGTTCAAGTGTCAGTACTTTTTGCCTTGTAAGAAATATATATTTTAAAAAAAGGTTCAACACAGCACATCCTGTATTTAACGCCTAAGTAGTGTTTAAGAAAGCACTACATGAAAGGTTAATTTAGTAAAACATCATGATGTACTGCTCCATCTTTTGTTCTCCAACATGCTGTCCTAAATCAGCGCAGCATGCAGCCCAACAGGGAGCAGGTTGCCCCAAGCTGTAGATGAGCACACTACCATCCCCTGTGCACCACACAAACATAAAACAGTTCAAGCTGGCCCACGAGACAGGCTAGCTTTAAGGTTTTACAGGCCCCATCTGTTGCCCTAAAACAAGCCAGACAAGGTGCAGAGGGACTGTCTGCAAGAATAAACTCACATTCATTCACTCACTCACACAGACTCTCAAAGAGTACGAAAATGAAGCAAAGTCAGCAAACCAGAGGGAGGGTTTCAACAGTCTATCACAGATAAGCTCATCATTTCTCATCCACTCCCTGGGCTTTGTGTCTGGCTGCTAACACATACCCCAGTGTGGATTATTTTGTCAGACTGCAAGCAGGAAAAGCTGAAGCGCATCATCCACAAGCCAGCCAGCAGTGTCGAGGCCCGCTCTACAGTATTGTTGACCATGGCAGCAAAAGGAAAAGAATATTAGCTAAGAGCAAGTGAGCTGATGTGTGTTCATCGTGTCCTGTGTGAAGTGCTCTTGGTGAGAGTTTGAGACACACGATCTAAGTGCTACACAGAGAAGGCTTGCAGATTCATTCAATGCAAAGTGGTGAAGAGCAAATGARTGATCAAAGATAGTCTGCATTTATAGATGGAATATTATGGCACAAAAAAGAAACACAGTCTGCATAACTTAACAGATGCTAACACCTGCAAGCATGCTACAGCTGACAGAAAATAACTAATACACTGATTTAACAGCTACTGTTTGGACCAAACCAATATTCTATAAACTTAACAGTTCAGAGTAAAGAGAAGTGGGATTTTTTTTAAAGGAGCATTGAGATGCAGAAGACTGTAATGATGTAGTTACAAAATACATTCAAGGTGGTGATAGCTTACACAAGTCTCTTAGTGATCAGTCGGAGTATAAATAAAATGCTAATACATACTATTGTGATGAGTAGTGGTGAGTTAAAACTATCTGAACTTCAAAAATCCAATTAAATTTTGTAAAAAAGAAAAAAATATATATATATATATGAATAAAATAAACTAAAAAACTGAAATCTGAACTGAAATATGTGATAACACTGGAAAGAGTAAATCTAAAGTAAAACTTTTTGTGTACAAAATCATAACTGGCTCTACTGTTTTAGCCACAGTCATAAAAATACCTGTTTACACAGTTAATTCAATTAAACCAATTATGTAACAGAAGAGTACTGACAAGCATAGTGGATGACACAAAGCTGAATGTGTGCAGTCTATAATGAGTTCTGCACAACTAGCATGACGGTAAAATACATAATTTGACTAGAAATGATAGGAGAGCAGTCAAATCACATGGAGTCTGCTCCAACAATCAGTTAACTGTCCACAACTCACTTATGCAAACTATGCAATACTAAAAAAAATTTGCAACAGAACTGAGATTGTATGCCAATCTAAAAGCTAATTTACAAAGCAGATCATTTCCAAACTTTGTGAGAAAGATTTAATGGCACTGCTTGATGAAGATAAAAGCACTTTCTTCTTTATTTATTTATTATTGTGTTAACGAATCAGACATTATAAGTAATGTAAGTTGTTGTTATAGCTTCTAGCATATATTTCCTTCTTTGCTTATAGAAAGTCTGTACTAGAAGTGACATGTCATAAATGCAGCCTAAGGACAGGGCTGTCACAGGGAGACCCTGTTTGTATCTCTCAATTTGTTTATCCCAACTTCCAACACATTCAGACTCACCATTTTGATGGGCATGCAGGCCAGGTCGCCCTCTGTGACAGGTGTATCATCACTCTCCATGACATAAATGCCCTTCCTGGACAGAGCCTGGATGACTGACACGTGGGACTGAAGAGTGGCAGCCTGCTCTGTCTTGAGGATGAGGGCACACACACGGCAGTACAGCTCRCAGGACAGAAGCAGGCGAATGACAGGTGGCTTGATGTGCTCCTGGTCATACTGGTCCGTGTAGAACGGGTCCCCTAAATCCTCTGGAATATGGTCTGCAATGGACAAATTTAGTGAATAGGTGAACCGTGTGGCCCTTAAAATGTGCTTTTAAAATGGTTTGAGCAATTTAGCATTGACTAGCATAGCATAATTAGACATACTGGTACAATTACTGCATTGGTGACCATTACAAAAAAAAGACTGAATGAGGAAGGAGAAAAGCTTAAAGCCATAGAAATGCAATAAAGCGTATAACATTCCTTGTATTATTCTTTTTGCCAGTTTCAGTTCACTTTGAGCAAATGCAGCCATTTGTATTTTTAGTCAACGCACAAATGTTCAAGAATAGAGTGAGCYGCAAATTCAAGTCTGCAGTGAGTACAGGCTTCTTCAGTAAAAGTACCAGTGTTAAGTGGTGAAGCCAAAAAAGAAAAACAGTGACTAATAAAGGCAGTTCTAATGCTGTTTATGTGAAGTCATTCTCAAAACCAAACACCAGAGCCATATAAGGCCACGAGTTAAAGCAGCTGACTAGAAGCATGGCCAAACCAAGTTTATACAGCAAGATTTTAAAAAAAAGGTGAAAAGACCTAAAACCATGCACAAAATCCACCAAAACACTGTGCTTTATAGAATGATGAAGATGAAGAGAGAAAAAAAAAGACTTGATTCATAAAATTTGTGGACAGAAAAAAAAAGTTAGTTCTGGCTAGTTTTGTGGATGACATAAGAAAAATTAAGTTACAAACATAAGGAGACAACAAATCAGGCTTTGAAAAAAAATCTAAAAACAATGATGGAACAAATAAAAAAAACTGTCCTGATGCATCTCAGTAAGAAAAATCAAAAAGAAAAAAAAGAAGAACCCGTCCAGAGGACCTACTTATTTTTTCTTTTTGAAGTTAAAAAAATATTAAAAAAACAGTTTAAAATATAAAACAAAACACAATATAAACAAATAAATAAGTTCCAAAACATTAAATGAGGTTACGAGAGAAAACGCTATTCCAGTTTTGCTCCATGTGTTTAAAATTAGTTATTTCATGAAAGAATGAAATTCAACTAGCATAATATTGTTGTTCTATAATCAAAACTAATTTGTTTATGCTTCTATTTCACACACTCTCAGCTTTTTTAATATCTGATGCAACTTATGAAGCCTTTATTGTCCATTGCCCTGTTGACTCAAATCTCTTTGCTAATGCACAGAAAACAATTAACTGCAAAAAAATTAATTAATTAAATTAAAAAAATAATTTAAAAAAATGAATGGTATAAATAAGGACAACTCCAACATAAGCCATACATTGTTAGCCTGTTGATGCTCAGGTCATATCATATATACAGAGCAACACAGGCCTCAGCTCCCATGTGCTGTCTGTCTTCACATAACGTGACAATGAGAACATTGTTGTAAAACAGGATTAATCTCCAGCCCTTAACACCCAGCAGTTGGGGTCATTCCAGCAGAGTCTGGGAGTACGAAATACTAAGAATAGTGGGAGCTACTCTGAAAACAAAGGGGTCTTGGTGAGGTGCGTCTTCACGTTTGACTTCATTCTACCGACACTAATGTCTCGTGGCAGCTGCCCCCACTTTCCCGCAACCCAGAGCAGGCTGAAACATTTACTAACTGGGGTGGGGTGGAGCACGATGATAGAGCCTGGCAACAAGACCCAGGATGTTCTACATCACAGTCAGCCAACCATGACGAGGGCCACGCCATGATCAGCACGAGGAGGACAGAACTGAGGCCGGTAATGTGCCTGCATCTATGACAGGTTAATGCTCGTCAGTGTTGGTGTCTGGCTGGCTGTGGCCAAGGCTGGGAGCAGCTGTGGCACATGCAGAGGGCAACGGCASGATACGACATATACACAAAAACAGACTTGTACAATTACTGAATTAGAAGAGGGGAAACACACGGAGCGATACACACCAAATGCATCTGAATCCCCAACAATCCCCATGTGACATGGGGATTGTTCATCATCTGTGTACACACCACTATTTATGTCTGCAAAAGCCAAGCAAACCACTAAGCAGCATTAGCATTGTAGCAGTCACCATATGAGCCGATAGGGTGAAATAAAGAGAGTCTAATTTATTAGGTACCCATGGGAGGAAGATAATTGCAGCTACACCTGAGAGTTGCTTCCCTCTGGGCTTTGAAACTGTGCTTTTCCTTGCAACATTTGATAACAATTGTCTAAATCCAAAGTGATTTAAAGAGTAACCTTTTTTTCCCCTGTGGTTAAGATGTTCCAATTATCCATGTCTCAGACTGTATCATTAGCCAGGGCCTATGATAACAAACATGACCAAGCAAGTCTTAGTACAGGCTCAGACTATTCTGAAAATAAACAGAGCATAAAACCTTAARAGATAAAATGGATTTAGAACAAAATTCTGGGCTACAACAAAAGTAGATAACTTTCTATTCAGTTCACCATAAAAAGTCTTCCTGCCATTTATTTTTAAGTAAATGTTTCTTAAGGCTACTGAAACATTTTTTTTGAGTGAATGGTTCAATAGCCTTAAGAAATCAGTGYAATGACCACAGATATGTAAAAAACCCACAGAGCACAATGAAATGCTTGTACAAAACTCTGTAACAATGACAGATGATTTGATCAGAGACTGTGCTGCTGAAACCGATATGCAAAACAAACTGGAACTTGTGCATCAGATAGCAAACAAAGCTTCACTCTGACAAGATGTTATGTAATGTTTGTTAACTTGCAAWCCTTCAGGAAAAACAATTACATTTCCTGCAACCAAAGACTAACTACCTGCCACACTTTCATGCATTTTGAGTTTGTATCACGGACATATTCATTATCGATTATTCTACAAAGACCCTAATGCTTCTACAAACAAATGACCACCCATTAAATTTAARCTATTTCTCAATATAAACTGAAGTTTCAAGACAAAATTAGAAAAGTTTCTAAAACATAAATGAAAACTAAATCATGACGATTCATTGTAACCGTCACAAAATCCTTGTGTAGACGCTCAATCATCCAGGACATGGGAAATACTAATAAAACTACTATAATAAAAAGTTGTACGTAGTTCAGTGCAGTGAAGAATGCTTAGATCTATTATTTAAAAGATAAACAAACAGCAGATACTCAGGTAAAAGGGAGGGCTACAACAGAACATATGTGGTAAATCAGTAAAATTATTATTTTTTCCTGTTGATTGCKCTAAACAGATTTTATTTGACAATTTTTTTCTGCGTGTTATCCCTGAAAATCTATTCAGCTATGGAAAAGACAGTGAAATCTAACAAAAAGGCACACACACTCATGCTGATACAATCTTAACGGGGAGAGTGAAAGACTGGCAGTGCAGATCAGTATTTTCCACACACTGAGCACAGTCTAACAAATATAGCCTAATCCTTAGTGCATGTCACTCGTCCTGATTTGGGTTCAATCTCACTGGTCACCCAACAAGAATTCAAGGATCTAGTGAGTCAGTGAGCGGGGTTTCAGTTGCCAAATGTCATGGGGAGATGAGAGTTAAAATCTATGCACACAAACACACACATTTCTTTCTCTAGGGCTTTTCCTGTCAATGTTTTTCCGCTGCAGCATTTCACATTCTGCTGACTATCAGTGAGCTGAGATTGTTAGTTTCAACACTAACAGACTTATTGGGTTGACGGGGTAAATATGCTGCAAATTCTCAAGAACAATGGCAGGTTGTGTTAAAGTCTGTGGTCAGAAATACGCGTCTAAGTTTGTAATGATAAACATGGCAACAGAGCTGTTCGGAAATGTGAAACAACAATAAAAAAATAATAAATCGACATTGGTGCAGAATGAACGCAGATTAAAACAACTTACCAATGCCATAGGCTTTAGCAAACAGCCACCGCAGGTTGGCAGCTATTTTTGCCCTGGCGGAGTCGTACATTTCCAAAGGTACAACATCCATCGTGCCTTCCGCAGACCCAGCTAGGTCTACTTTTTTCCTGGTACTATCCACACCAGCACACGTGTCAGCATCCATCCTTAAAAACATAACACACTGTTAAAATCTACATTAAACAGAACGTGTTGCTAAGTAAAAAATTACAGGATTTGAGCAAAGCTGTTAACKATCTTTGAATTGGCTAGTAAACAGCACAGACTTACTGAATCCAGTGAATTATGGGAAAATAAAATTATGTATAACATTTACCTCAGACTTATTAGTTCATATGTTTCACATTTTGTGGGTAAGACTAAGACACAATAGTATCAAATATAGGTTTATAAAAAACTGTTTCTAGAGCGTCTGAAGCAAGCTACCAAAAAAATCTGAATAAAGTATTCTCATTTGAAACGTTCAACCTGCATTCTAAGCTGCTCTAAATACAAAAACAAACAAACAAACAAACAAACAAACAAACATCTGATGGTCTACTCTTCAATATCAAAGTAAAACACAAAGAATAGCTAAAAGTGCACCCCAAAATAAATTTGGCTTAAGGTAAAAAACAGTTAAACCAGGAAAGAAACAAACTGTGCAGCAAAACTATCTCCAAAAATGAATATTTTTATTACAATCACTTCCTTTTCAACTTTTATGCCTCCTCACTTTTGTTTTAAGTGTTTTGCTTTCACCTTAGACATCTTCTAAGTTTATTACATTCTTTTAACATAATCTGTGTGTTCTGAATGATTGTCAACATTAGAAAAAAACAATTTGAATTTTCTATTCAAACTCTATATTCTGTTACCTTATTTCTCCCAAGAGTCATGGCTTCGTCTTRCTGAAAATTACAATTAACTTAATAAGGGGCAATACCTGCTTGAGGTAGATTTTTCACAAACAGTAATTAACATAACAGAGGGCAACAGAGAAGTTGTAGTTACCTGTACCTGCTTATATAAGCTACAATACTACAACGCCAAAGGCTGTTATAGTTATTACAGGGGGGAACAAACGCAGACTTGCCTAATAACAGCTTAGATTGTTTTATAACCTGTAGCACAATTTTAAAGTTATCGCCTCCGTAATGCTTCTCCTAACGGCCTTCTAATAACATTGGATTCCTGGATAAGCTGCTATGAATTAGCTGGGTAAATGCTAATACACCTTAAATAAACAGTGATGGTGTTTCAAAAATCTCATAAATGAGGCAACGATCGTTAGCTGACAGGAACATTACCCTTAAAATGAAATAACAAAGCGGCTGTGCGCGTATGCAAATGAATAAAAGCTAACTATCGCTAGCTAACCGTTAGCTCGCTGTACTGGCTGGTTCCAACAGCACCATTCACTGGACACATGAATGACGCTACAGACTTTACCTCGAAAGGTGTGGTGTATCCCCCTGTCAGCACTGTCCTCTCGTCGGTGTAAACAATTAACCAAAGACCTGCGTGGTTGCGAAGTGGTCCGCTGTGTGGAAAATACAGCCACCGCCGCAGAGACGCATCGTAGCCAGCTAATAATGCTAGCTGGAGGGAGGCGAGTCGGTGTGTGGTCTCCTCCCAGCAACAGAACCCGATTCACGGCCCGTGTGACAACCGTTTCGCGGCAGACGGTCGAAAAAAAAAAAAGCTGTGTATCTTCTCTTGTGGAAAAACAACACAACGCGCATGAACTCTTGTGTTTAAAAAATCTACGTCTGGATAAGACGCTTCAAATTAGATAAAAGACACGGACTGGCCCGCGGACCAGCGGTGGGTTCGCGGTCTGTCAGTAATTTTTATCCCAGTCTTTCTAAAACACGACCACTGCGCATGCGTGATWACCTTCCAAGCTCTTAATAGCAAATGACTGAGTATTACAGTAATTTGGCTTTGTTTAAATGCTGTTGATACTTTTCAATTCAATAATATATATGTAGTTCATAAAATTGAGTTGATTGAGAAATGCACGGTTGTACTTTAATAAATATGTATTCATGTTCAGAGGGTTTATTACCAAAGATTGCTAAATCCTCATTGACACTTACCTGAACAGAAAAAATAAGTAAATAGAAAAAATAAGTAAATAAATAATAATAATTTG